AGTATAGAGAGTCATGAGATAATATCAGGAAAGGAAGAAAACTTGGTTTTATTAGGCAGTATGGCTTCAAAGCCTGTGATAATAAAAATCTGAAAATACTATAGTAGACCAAATTTGTCTTTTTGAAATATCATCATTTAAAATGATAGTAAAAAGTAGACTAGAAATAGTGTTCAGCATTAGGGTTAATCCAGTGTAATAAGGTTGTTAGGTAGGAGTTCAGGGGCACAAAGATGGCAGAGACAATGTATAAGTAAGAAGCCACTGGAAGACAAGACAAGAAGACAAGTCCTGTTCCTCCCTGTTTACAATAAATTCCATTACCATGACAACTCCACCACTGAGGACATCACCAAAACAACTCCTGCCACAGGTTCAAATTTTAAAATGACTAATGGAAATAATGCAGGCAGTATTCTAATTAGGTTTTCTAAAGTAACCAATGGCGGGGGTGGGGGGATTGGAAAATATTCTAATCAGGTATCAAGATAATCAATGCCAGAAAACGAGGTAAGGTCTTCAATAAGGTCTGTACAGGGAAGAGAATGCCTCATACTTCAGGACATGAGACCCTAATTTGCAGACATTGGGGCCTTGAGTCTCTCTCTCTTGCTTGATCCACTCTTTTCTGCCTAAGTGCTATCTTGACTTTCAAATCAGTACTCTACCTATTACTTTTGTTTCACTCAATTCTTTGTTTGAGACACAAAGGACCCAGACTTGGACTGGACATCCCAATAGTAACAAGGATGTGAATACTTGCTGATTAAGAATTAAAACATTAAAATGACTGCACTGGATTACAAAATTTTAGCTAACTTAAAAATAGAAAGATCTTCCCAAATTCCCTGTTCCAGTGCTTCTTTGGTTGTAAAAATAAATCCTTTATAAGGAACACTTTCCAAAATCTATATGTATCTGATGAAGAGCCCAAAGAAGAGACATGTTTCTTCTGCAACAGTCTGGCAAAATCAGGGTGCTATAGTGGCCCAATCTAGCATCTAGCCAAGGACCTGTAGCCATTATCTGCAAAGACTGCAGCACAGCAAATGTTCAGAAGTGTCAAGGACAGTGCAGCTCCTGCTGAGCATCTAATCAAGCAGCCAGGATATAATAAGAGAATCTTGATGTGTGAGGACTGAAGGGTCCACATACCCAAAGAAGATGGACCCATGAAATACAACTCAACCTATGCTCTCAGCCCTGGAAATGTCCAGGTAATGTTTTTAGCTTGACCACTCCCATGTCCCCACTGCAACCTCAGGGAACTCAGAGTCAGAAGGGAGTGTGGACCCAGGTGAACAAGGAAATAGATGCAGGCCTTACCAAGAACCAAGCTGAGATGCCCGAGGAAGGAAAGCAGAATAGAATTCTATTCTGCTCATTCTGTCATACCTGAGATGCACCAGGCAGGTGGCCATGGATGCTCCAGAGTTCCAACTTAGGCCAGGAGGGGTAAGAGAGGTGAAGCTTGTTCTGATGTTTAAGTGAGTTAGAATGCACTGAGCCAGGGATTTGTCAAAGTAAAGGTGAAATTTCAGGGTTGACTGGGGTGGTCAATCCCCAGGAGGAGGATCCCCAAGCAACCTAGGATGCCTCTATTGTTAGCCGTGCACTCACAGGAGAATTCCTGGGCCAGCTGCTTCCTCCTCATGGGACTAAGTCTTTGACTGAGGCCCACAATTCAAGTCTGCAGAGCCAAGGGCTGGCTCTGCTGCAAGCAAGGTGAGAGCTGTGGATAAACTGAGGCCCCACTCTAGGAGGAGGGGCCCCATTCAGACTACCTCAGCGGCCAGCCCCAACCCCTGAGGGCTGGGGTAGTTACAGGTAAAACCCCCTACATTGCAGGGGACCCTGGGAGTTACGTATGGTGGCTGATGTTGCCATAGAGCCGAAAGGGCCATGGAACCCTCAAGGTAAAAGTGAGAGCTGAGGCTGGATGAAGCCCACCCCAGAATGATCTTAATCATCCTGACTGTGGCCAGCCCTACGCTCTGGGAACAGAATTCCCACGTAAATCCCTTCTGCCATAGGGGACACTGGGAATTATATCCTCAGCCTAAGGCCTGCAGGGACTGGACAGGACCCTGGCTCTGTGGGGAACAAGGTGAGAGCTGAGGGTAGAATTGGGAGGCCCCACCCCCAAAGCAGGGTCCCCAAACCATGCAGGCTGTCTTTGTGGCCAACCTTGCAGGGCACACTTTTGCTTTAGTGAGACCCAGTGAGGAGTAGGTTCTTTCTCTCATGGATCAAAAGAATGAAACCCACTGACAATGGAGGGTGAGAGCAAAGTAACAAGTTATTTTTGGAACAGAAATGAAGGGGAGTGCCCACAAATTTTTGATCCTCTAGGGGTTCAAATGGTATTGCAGGAGGTGACCTTTACAGCCATAAGACAATGAGTTATAGGCAGACAAATTTCCACATCCAATCACAGTGAGACAATCACGGATCATGCGCCTGTTCTCCAATCAGGATGTTGATCATGAGCTGTACACGTGCTTGATCACATGATATCTGGCTTATAAGATACTATGCACAGGAAATTGTTACAATCCAAGTTCCTACCTTATCTGCTTACCAGATTTCTGGATCCTGTATCCACCAAGAAAACCTGGGAGTTGCAGATGTTGCTTGAACACCACAATTCTACTAAGTGAAGCAGACCAGGACTGGAGACTATTGAGGTCAAGGTGAGAGCTGGGTGGACTGAAAAGGTCACCCCCCAGAATGATGGTCCCAGAACTACGCAGGATTCATCTGTGTCTAGCCCTGCTGTCCACCGGATCAGAATTCTGAGATGAAAACCTTCCAATGCAGGGGACCCTAGGAGTTACATTCTAGTTCTGAGGCCTTTAGGAAGTAGACTGGTTCAGGCCATTGTTAGAGACAAGATGAGAGCTGAGGGTGAGCTGAGGAAGAACCCACCAGGTACAGGTAAACGATATAATGCAAGCTGCCTATGAGGCCATTCCTTAATCTGAGGACAGAATTCCAGGGAGCCCATTTCATCACAGGGGACATTGAGTGTTAAAGCTATTGACTGAGTGAGAGGAAGGGCCAGGACACTGTGGGTGTCAGGGTGAGAGGTGGGGTGAACTGAAGAAGTACCATGAGGTGAGGGTCCTAAACCACCCCATTTCCTCGGCCAGCCCTTCATGAGGTGGGGGACAGAATTCTAGGGAACCCTTTTCACCACAAGGATGCTGGGAGATGACACAGTCTGCTGAGTGGACAGGACAGGGCACTGTAGATATCTGGATGAGAGGAGTGATGGACTGAGGAGGTCCCACCCAGGGGAGGATCCTAAACTACCCCAGTACCTTTGCTAGGTCTTCTGGGTTTCAGGGGGACTGAATTCCAGGGAACTTCTTCTTTTTCCGGGGACATTGGGAGTTAAAGCTGTTGGCTGAGAGGAGAGGGCCAGGGCACTGTGGGGGTCAAAGTGAGACATGAGGTGGAGTGAGGAGTTCCACTCTGTGATGAGGGACCTAAACCACCCCAGTTCCTTGGACAGCCCTTCTGGGGTGGAGGGACCGAATTTCTGTGTGCACCTAATAGCGCAAGGGAGGCTGGGATTTATTGCCAATAGCTGGGGGAGTTGCCAGGGCCTTGAAATGGACTGAGGAGTTCCAAACAGGGGAGGGTTCTAAACCACCCTAGTACCTTGTCCAGAACTTCTCGGGTTCTGGGGGACTGAAGTACAGGGAATCCCTTCTGTCGCAGGGGACTCTGGGAGTTAAAGCCGTTGGCTGAGTGGAGAGGTCCGGTTGTCAAGGTGAGAGGTGGGTTGGACTGAGGAGGTCCCACCCCTTGCAGAAGGGTCCTAAATCACCCCACTGCCTTGGCCAGCCCTTCGCAGGGTGGGGGACAAATTCCAGGGAACCCCTTCTGTCGCAGTGGACCCTGGGAGTTAAAGCCGTTGGCTTGGTGGGTAGACAGGACCTGGGCATTGTGGGTGTCAAGGTGTGAGGTGGGATGAACTGAGAAGGTCCCACCCCGTGGGGAGGGGTCCTATGTCACCCCACTGCCTTAGCCAGTCCTTCACAGTTTGGGCTACAGAATTTCAGGGAACGTCTTCTGTTGCAGTGGATGCTGGGAGTTAAAGCCATTGGCTTGGTGGATAGACAGGGCCCGGGCACTGTGGGTGTCAAGGTGAGAGGTGGATGGACTGAGAAGGTCCCATCCCATGGGGAGGGTCTTGAATTACCCCACTTCCTTGGCCAGCCCTTCACAGATTGGGGAACAGAATTTCAGGGAACACAGTCTGTCACAGGTGATCCTGAGAGTTAAAGCAGTTGGCTGGGTCGGTGGACAGGGCTTGGGTACTGTGGGTCTCAAGGTGAGCAGTGGGTTGGACTGAGAAGGTCCCCCCCCGTGGGGGAGGGTCCTAAACCACCAAGGTCCCTTGACCAGCTATTCACGGGGTGGGGGACAGAATTTCAGGGAACCTCTTCTGCCACAGGGAACGCTGGGAGTTAAAGCTGTTAGCTGAGAGGAGAGGGCAATGGCGCTGTGGGTGTCAAGGAGAGAAGTGGGGGTGACCTGAGGAGGTCCTACCCCATGGGGAGGGTCTTAAACCACCACAGAATCATGGCCAGCCCAACTTGGGGTGGAGGACAGAATTCCAGGGTGCCCCATCTGCCTTGATCCGTTATACCAGGGTACCCCTTCCAGATGTGGGTGATGCTGGGAGTTAAAGCCCTTGCCTAGTGAGTTTACAGAGCAGGGCGGAGTGAGTGACAAGGGGTGAGCTGGGATGGCCTGAGGAGGTCCCACCCTGGGGGGAGGGTCTTAAACCACCCTATTATCTTGGCCCCTCCTTCCCGGACTGGAGGACTGAATTCGTGTGCACGCCTTACGGCGCAAAGGATGCTGGGATTTACTGCC